AAGTTTTACAAAATATGAAATTGATCATAAAAGAAATTCCAAATTTCACATTTGCATTTGGGCTTCCGCATGTCCATATTCGCAGTAGGATTATGTAATTCAAAATTCGATGGTTCTATGTACCGTTGTTTTATCCCAATGTGAGAAAAATACATACATTTATGCAGATTCTTCATTATTTAATTTCTTCAAATATAATACAGGGAGATAGTATTTGGTGGCAACAGTTTGAAAAGTGGTACAGCCATTTATAGTGATTCAACGCAAAATCGCAAAACGAAAACAAAGCGACTTCGTAATAAAAACATTCTTAGATCTATCAGATTTTTGTTATTACAAGTTTTAAATATAAATTCAACGGTAATTATACAGCTCTTCTTGAAAATATACGCAGGCCATGAGAATAAAACAAGACAAGAAACAAAAACAAAAATAATTTTATTTTACGAAGGACTTCCATTATAAGCATAGAAAGACAGTAGATAATTCTTGGCTAACAAATAAATACATTTAAATAATAAAATCATTTTGAATGAACATAAACAAAAATTGTCCAAGCTTTTTCAAAACCTTTTAAACAAAAATTTAAAGTTGAAAAACGTTTTCAAAATTTCTGTAGCATACAGCTGCCCTGGAAATTTTTAAAATGCGTTTAAATTATTAGCTTGACCTGCATTGGCAACATCATTTTACAACTCAAAATAATGTAAGGTAATTTAATTCGGAACTTGTTTCGCTCACTGAATATAGAATTTCACTTTTTCTGCCAAACGATATTAGATAAAAAAGAAATCGTCGATTAAATGTTTGCTTAAATAAAAGCATAGATAGAAATTTGATAAATTTCTTCTTGTTTTAATAACGTTGTATTTTATTTCTTCTAAATAAATACCTAGGAATTATTCTCATAATATTTTTAATTGTATTATTATTATTATTAATGGAATCATCAGTGGAGGTCTGGATAAGACCATAAAACATGGGTTATTCACATTTTACAAAATTTCGAATACGGTAAATTCTTTTAACACTCATTTTACAGCTCTCACAAATACCATGATATTTTATTTTTAAAAAATGTAGAAAAGACAAGATAGACAAAATTAACACGGAAGATGATTGAAAGGAACTTGTTTTTGTTTCAATAGTATATGAAACATATCACAACTAATGTTTCCGTAGACGTACAGACACTGACTGCAAACCAGGTGATTTAGATTAGTTCGACTTAAACAATACCTAAAAGAATTACATATTTTTTAGAACTTTCTGCGCTCAGTTTCATTGCATAAGCATATGAATTCATTTAATTTTCCTTCATTGTAATCTTCCCCAATGTCTGTCAATTAAGAATCCACGGAGTAATACTAAAGGACCTACAGTTTTGGAAAGAAATGGAATGATTAAAATACATGTACATTGAGAAAAAAATTAATTAGTTCTTTATCTCCCGTTTTACAGAGCCAACTGACGAAACTCAACTTGCGTTTTTCATGTCTAAAAAGAGCGATTTAGGATATGTATTAGACTTATATATATAGTTTAATATAGATATTTTGACACAAAATCGGACTTTTTCTGATACAACATAAAAATATTTTTCCATATTCCGATTCTACCACTCAAATTAAGCCAAACTGACAAGTTTTGTAAATATCACACGAGTAGTTTTTAAAACATTAGCTCTCAAAATTTTAGCCCCTCCATGGTAATTGAGTTTGGTATATATATTTGCTTTTTATTAAACTTATTTGATTCTTCCTTTGACATTTCGAAGTTGAGGTTCATTCCAAATAAAATTCGCCCCAAAATTTATATTTTAAAATAATTTTTATAAATTTTTCGAAAACATATTTTGAAATCTATAAAATATTTACCATCATCTCAAGTAGATGTAGTTCTAATCATACTTGCAAAAAATGAAAAATTTTTATTGAAAATTTCCAAAGATATACGTGAATTCATATATTGGCTCGTTTTGAAATTTGGCATCGTTGTCGAAAGCGATAATAAAATCAAATACGGTTTAGGCACTTTGTTAAAATTATTTGAAGGGAGAACGATGTGACTTTTTATCCGGTCCTTTACAGTTGAAGGAAAAGGAAAATGGGTTGCCATATATTAAGAAGTTCGCCAAGTGAATTATTCTTGGCGCAAATTGAAAAAAAGTCGCCAAGATAAATTTGTGAATTTCTCTGTAAATTCCGCACCAAATTTTACAAAATTTAATATTTAGGCATAATATGAATAGTACAATCGAAATTTGGAAAAAAATTGGTATGTTACTTCAGAAAAACTCCCATTTTGTGTCAAAGCACCTATGTTAGAAAAATGCTATATATAAATCTAATATATATAATAAGTCGCACTTTCGAGATATGAAAAACACAATTTGACTTTCGTCAATCGGCCCAGTAGAACGGGAGATATAGAACTGTCCCATTTTTTATTATTTTTTTTTTTTTTCCCGCAGTGTGCATGTAATAAATTGCGCCAAAAGTACGAAAATTATTGAAAATACAAAATTTCAGTAATTTTGCTTTCAAATACTGAGACATAATTAGTTTTAACAGGATTTGGTTTTAATCATTTTTAATTATTTGGTGTATTTAATTATGGCAAAGCACACGAGGGCTATCTGCCTAAAGGGAGGGATGCCTTTCGTGGAGGACTTTCTAAGGGAAACTGGCTCGTATACACGTTACACATGGGGAAAACCACGAAAACGCCCATGCAGCCAGCCCGTTCGCGGGATTCGAACCTCAGACCGAACTACCAGTGTTCAGCGTCTTTACCGCTCGGCCGCTGGTGGGCCCATTTTTAATTAATTAAATACAAAATTGATTTAAATATATGATCTGCTTTAACATTTTTCAGATTTATTAAAGACGAAAATTTATTTTCAAGAAATCTAAGATAAACAACATTTTACGAATTTTAGAAGGCATTTTACAAAATACTGTGAAATGGAAAGGAGCTTTTCAAAAAGCAAAATAGTATCGATACTTATTTTATAGTTCATTAGGGGGTTTTGAAAAAAAAAGAGAGAAAACATTCAAAAACTATCCCATACAAATAAGTAAAAATGCAGAAACAGTAAATCTAACTGCAGAAATGCTGTAATACCTACAACCATATATTCTGGATATTTTGGATTAGTATTTGAAAAATTGCTTTATATTTGATCTTCTATCTCGGAACCAATAATTTTAGTTCACAATTAAGTAAAATTATTTATTTCCAGCGTTTTCTAAAAGTAAAAGCAAAAGAATCCTTTGGAAATTCACTAAATTTTAAAATTCGGTTCGAAATTTAATATTCCTAACATCCATATATTGGGTCATATAAAAAGTCTTCGCGTTTTTTTGCCACCAGATGGTGTTGATGGCTATGTATCCGGCAACACTCAACCGATTGTCTCAAACATGTGCTTAAAAAGTGACATTTGGCTTCCATTGTTTGTGAAAATAGTTTTCTAATTCTTTGCTTGTGTAAAAAGTTATATTGATTTGGAAATGAATGAAATATCTGAAGAAATATGTTATGTGATGCTTTTTTACTATGAAAAATATAAAAAGGTTGCAAAAACATGCCGACAAATTTGTGAAGTGTATGATGAGAATGCTGTCAGTGAACGAAGGACCCAGGAGGCGTTTGCTCGATTTCGTTCTGGAAATTTCGATATCAAAGATGCACCTCGCTCTGGTCGGCCAGTCACTGAAAAAGTCGATGAAATTTTGCAACTGGTGGAGCAAGATCGGCAAGTAATCTGTCACGAAATAGCGAAGGCACTAAACATCAACCACATGACAGTTTGGAATCATTTGAAAAGAACAGGTTACAGAAAGAAGCTCAGTGTTTGGGTGCCCCATAAATTGCAATCTGGTGAAACCTGGCGAAATCATCAATTCGACCCTGTTCTGTGCATAACTCGACCATTTTGAACGAAGCAATACAGAAAGAGCGACCAGAATTGGCCAAAAGAAAGGAAGTTGACACAGAATAAATTGCTATCTGGTGCAACCAGAATTGGTTGCTCTGGTGGAACCAAACAGCGACCAAAATTGGCCAAAAGAAAAGAAGCTGGCACAGAATAAATTGCAATCTGGTGCAACCTGGCGAAATCATCAATTTGGCCCTGTTCTGTGCGCAACTCGACCATTTTGAACGAAGCAATACAGGAACAGCGACCAGAATTGGTCAAAAGAAAGGAAGTTGGACCAGAATTGGCAAAAGAAAAGAAGTTGAACCAAAATTGGCAAAAGAAAGGCCGCGCATTGCCATGTTCCAACATGGCAATGCGCGGCCACACACATCTTTGATGACTCGGAGCAAATTGACGGAACTTGGTTGGGAAGTTTTGATGCATCCACCATATAAGCCCGAACCTTGCATCGTCTGACTACCATTTTCTTCGGTCTCTGCAAAACTCTCTTTGATGGTAAGACATTGGTCGACCAAAGAGCTACTGAAAATCACTCTCCCAAGTTTTTCGACGACAAGCCATAGAAGTTCTACACCGATGGAATTATGAAGCTACCCGAAAAATGGCAAAAGATCATAGATAATAATCGTCAATATATACTTGATTAAAATTGATTTTTAATGATTTGTGTGCAAAAATGTACCAAGAAAGCGCGGAGGCTTTTTATATGACCCATATTTAACAGGAAGCTTGATTTCTGCCAAAGTATGATTTGCAAATTAGCCTACCCAAGTACATGCCCAGAATAACTTGACAATAAGAGCAAGTCCTGCTTTTGAAACAATACTTGATTGCCCTTTCAGGACTTAGTAATTATTCTGAACAATAAATAATTTTTGCAGTCAAGAGATGCCTAAAATATTTTGGCTTTTCAACTTTCTCAGACAAAATCCGGAAATCTCTTTCGTGACCTGCACACATTTTTATGAGAAATGAGAAAAATGTATGTGGTATCTGTTGAAATGATGTCTTAGCAGACTGCAATGAAGTATTAAGTTATCTGCTCGGTGTAATAATTAAGAACCAGCCTTAAGCGCAGTTAGTCAGCAAGTAGTCTCCTTGAGAATAACACAAGGATCTTGTAGGAACCGGCTTACTCTACGTCGGACCGGTGATGTCGGAACGCCAAGAGGAGCTTCTTCTGGTACTGGCGTAACCAAGAATCGTACCTTATTGCTGGTTTCTGTGCTTGCCGAAGGCCAGAGTGTATAAGGGTTGTCAGCGTTTATCAAAGATTGCCTTAAGAGGGCAACACTACTCCTGGAACCAGATGGCATGCAAGAGCCGACTCCGACTGATGACTGTGGATGTGGACGTCTAAGTTCAACATCTTTAAGCACTGGATCCAGCTGTTGATGGGAAGTACCATTCTGGAATCGAAATACAATATAAATATGTAAGTTTCCAGAAGTTATGCAAATTACTAGATGTATAATCTATTAAAACCTCTCTCCAACTCAAAATAAGTTGACATTTTATGCTTGAGTTTTGTTCCTATATACACTCATGTCCATAAATTAAGGATAATTCGGAGTCACTCTGAAATCGAACTCTAAAATAAATATATTACCTGTAAAATCACTACACACATTTTCAAGAATCATATGCAAATTTCAGGAAGTAAGCAGATGACACCGATGGTACGTCGCAATGACGAGAGTGTAAGAGAGTGATATATAAGGAATACAGGCAATGAAGTAAAATTGTTCGCAGGCGCTTTATAAGCATTTCAGTGCAATAACCGAATAGTTATGACACAAAGGACGCATTTGGATGATTTTTTACGTGGTAGAATTATCGGCCGTCTGGAATGTGGGCGTACCCAGCTGGAAGTATCAGACGAACTTGGAATTGACCAGAGTGTCATCTCTAGGCTTTGGCAACGATTCCAAGATGATGGTAACGTGAGTAGACGTTACAGCACAGGTCGCCCCAGAATTACAACGCCGAATGAGGACCGGTATTTGGCAGTTACTGCCAAAACAAACAGGCGGAGCACAGCCTCAGACCTGTCTCGTCAGCTCTCTTCAGCCACTGGTACGACAATTTCAAGGCAGACCGTGTACAGACGCTTAGGGCAGATTGGTCTATATGCTCGTAGACCTGTCAGATGCGTTCCACTTACTGCAACTCACTGTCGCCTGCGGTTAGCCTGGAGTAGAGAGCATGCATTGTGGACACCGCAACAGTGGGCTTGTGTGATGTTTTCCGACGAGTCCAGGTTTAGCTTGCAGTCTGATTCTCGCCGGACTTTCATATGGAGAGCTCCAGGTACCCGTTACCACCAAGAAAACATCATTGAACGACACCGTTACGGTGGTGCAGGAGTGCTCGTTTGGGGTGGAATTATTCTGGGTTCCAGAACTGACCTGCATGTTCAAATTGGAACCATGACAAGCCAAATCTATCGGGACGTCATTCTGGAACAACATGTACATTTGTTTTGGGGGCCGCACAATTTGTGTTTATGGATGACAACGCCCGTCCTCACCGTGCAAAACATCGTAAGCGAATGCCTTCAATCGGAGGATATCACCCGTATGGACTGGCCAGCATTCTCACCGGACTTGAATCCAGTAGTAGAGCACGTGTGGGACATGCTTGGCCGACGAGTTGCAGCCCGTCAACCTCCTCCTACATGTCTACCGGAACTTCGGAGAGCATTGCTTTTTGAGTGGTGTAATATCCCCCAAGATCAGATCGATAATTTGATACTCAGCATGCCTAGGCGTTGTTGTACGGACTGTATTGCATCGTCTGGGAGACATACAATGTATTAACAATCATACCAACCATGTAATATTGGTTTTTTTGTAAATAAGGGTTTTTTTTTTTTTTTTTTTTTTTTTAAATTGCTCCAGGGAGAAAAAAAATCGCTAATTTTTTTTTTAATAATATCAAACATATAGCATTTTTTGCTCTTTACCTTTTGTTTAATAAATAAGCTTTACAAATAAGTCAAATTTGTTTTGCTTCTAACTTTTCCTTTGCCTGATTTTGCATTATCCTTAATTTATGGACATAAGTGTAGTTATTCCATCTATAAAAATTTTTTTTTCTAATTTGGTACATAAATTATACATAAAGACAGCATTTAGCTTTATTTATACTTCGGGATTACAGCTGATATTAATTTATTTTGAAAGTTTTTTTTTTTTTTTTTTCTGTTCAATGTGTATAATTATGTCAGAATTACTTTTTAATGACACCATTACACATTCCATTAAAAGTCTATAATACCAATAAATTCTTTTCTTACCTTTTAACTTCCATATTTTTTAAATTTACTTTTACTTATTCGGTTAGTTCATCTATTACAACGATTGTTGTAAATAAATACATGGTGCTGCAGAGACAAAATTGCAACATCAGGTAAAGAAAAAATCTCATGTGGACACCACACGACTTCCTTGTACGGCATATTAAATTATACACATTTCTTCCTGAATTTCATTTAAATTTATTGCCTCAAATTTTATTGAAGTTATAGTTCTCATTCAATTAATTCAGCCCTCACTTCGCGGTACACAAAAACTCAAAATATCATCATTAAAAATTGAAAAATATGAAGAAATACAAAACAACACATACACTTAAAACAACGAGATACATCCCGCAACATAAGAAGAGAAAGAATGACCTTGCTTGTTTGCATTAGCTGTACATAAGTCACGTGATCTCTGAGGTTATCTGCATTGTTTGTTTACAAAAGGTATACATAAGTCATGTGATCAATGAAGTCATCGGAATGTATCTCATTAAAAAAATAATTTTTACACTTAAAATTAGAATTTCTATGCAAAAAGAAACAATTCGGCCAGCGTTCAAGAAGACAGATTCTGCAGTGCACAAAACTGAAAGTTTACTTTTGGCCCCACTCGGCAAAAAGACACTGAAATTGAAGAAACTGACTTCATTTACTTTTCTGCTAAGTTTCAAATGTAAAAAAATATGGCTGTTCCATTAGGCTTAGCCGCATTTAAACAACTTTTAAATTCTTGATAATTCTACAAATATTGCATGCAGATTCAATAAAGGCATAAAAACTTTCAGTAGAACATAAGAACAATACAATTCAAACATTTTTAAAGCAAAAAAAAATTTGCACAATTTACCAACTTATAACAAGAACAAAACTGAGTTCACCGAGCCGAGTAACAGAGCGAGTATATATATATATATATATATATATATAGTGTAGCCTATTATAACCAAAACGAAAAGTACACAGCTACATGTTATAGCAGACCAACGTTCTGAGGCTAATCGTTTTTGAGTTATGCAAGATACGTACGTACGTACATACGTATAGACGTCACGAAAATATCTCTTCTTAATTCATTTTATATTCGTTTTGGGAAAAAAAGTTCTTTATTCTATCCTTACGTACAGATGTGACTGAAAAGCATCCATAAATTGCATTCGACATTGATCAAAATGGATATTATCGTTGAAATATGACACCCGATTTTTTTTTCGATTACAATACTTCCTTTACTTCGTATAAGGAAGTAAAAAGAAGGAAGTCATGCACGTTCAAATTTCAGCTTTATGGAGCTAAACTTTCTAAAAGGAAATGTCGGCACAAAGAATGAGTTTTCTGTTATCATATCAACATTTAAAGGTCCCGAAAGGAATTTTGGTATTTTGGAACTTCTTTTAAACTTCATAGAAAGGTTTCATCATTACCCAACGTTAGCTTTGCCAGTGAACGTTTTTTCTGTTTTTATTCCAAACATTTTCAACATATTACAGAACCTCTTTTCAGAAGACTTCTTGGCCATTATGCTTACATATTTCTTTTTCGATGTAATTAAAAAACCTCAAAATGGACATTATGAATGTTATTTGCCATTTTGTCATTTGCGGTTTATGGTAGCAAACCCGAAATTTTCATACATCAATTTATATTTAAATTAATATTAAAGTTCGAAATGATAGGGGTTTTATTTCTTTTCCTGCTAGCCATTGTTCAGAGTAAAAAAGAAAATGGCGTAGTATTCTTTGGTTGTCTGATTCAGCTAACAAATGTTTTTTAGACAAAAGCAGTGCTGATAAGGACCACGTGTTTCTGTGACTCCTTCTCCTTTATTTTCTTCTTTCTAGGTATTTCTTTCTCCTGATGAGGAGGGACCTTTAGCTGACCTCGAAATCGATTGAGTGTTTCATTATACCTACGCTAAATACAAGGTTGTTTTTACGATTTTAAATGTTTTTTATTTGGTAGAGTTCCCAAAATTGAAATAAAACTGTTAAATTCTAAATGAATTTTGCATATCTGATATTAATTTTCGAACAGAGAGAATAATTAATAAGCAGCACTGGTTTAATTGGAAATTCTCCATGAAAGATGACTCGGTTAGATAAAACAAATTCATCGTATTTCTTATCTCTGAAGCCGAATGTGTAATTCTGAATAATTAAAAAGTTGTTTATATATTTATAATTACCGCATATCCTCCCATATTGCCCCCTAACGTTTCAGTGCCAGATTCTGAAAAGTAAAAAATATTCGCTCAATTGCCTAATGAGCCCTCAAGCCCCTCCCTAATGAGTTCAGAGATTGAACTCCCAAATTTTAAAATGGATTCATCCACGTAGTGATTATTTTCGTGCTACTACATCCAAAATCTCGCAAACTACCTGTAAAGGTCACGCCGAACTTTCCTTCGAATTGTTGAACTTTATAACAGCCTAATACAAGAACTGACCCATCACAGCGAAGCAAACATGAGCTGACATTCACCCTACGATTTCTATGAGCCAGCTGCTCATTCACTTTCTCTAATTATTTATGGATGATTTAAGGCCTAAGGAGTAGCAGACACAACAGTAAGAATGGTCGATATTTAAGTTATAGGGAAGTAGACATGAAAATATCTAATTTGGTATTATAATGTTAATAATACTATGTATTCTTATTGGAATGTAGATTTCTTTTAAGAAATAATATTGTGATAGTTACCTGCACTTCAACCGTAACTGCGTCTCATTTTTTTATGTTCTTACTGTAACCGCTTCCTTTAGTAATTTAGTTATTCGCATAATTTCCCCTCTTGATTTTCGGGGGACAAAATTAGTGAAAAAAAGAGGGGGGGAAATGCGCGAGGAAATACGGTATTAATTACAGATGACTGCTGGTTTTGCAACTCTGACAGATCCACGCTGCTTTTTTCAACAAAACGTATTTCAATTTTCAGGCAGTTTCATGTCTTTCTTTTTATCGATGCTACGAAATTAAGAAAAAGTAAACAAACAAACAAAAAACAACAACAACAAATCTGAAAGGTTTCAGATTTTAAATTACGTCTAAAGGGGCGTTTTTTTTGAAAGTTTTGTATGTTACCGGTATTTATTAAATATCATGTTCTTCGCACTTAAAGCATAAAATTCAGTTCAACAGCAATTCGCAAAATAATTTTAAAATGAGCCTATCTTTAGAACTTCCGATACACAGTTCCGCGCGGTGGAAATAAAAAGGTTTCCTCCCCTCCGTTAGAGTGTTGCCATCTCTCATTTTTAAATCGTTGAGTTTGTGAATCAAAAATTCGTTAAAGTTTTACAAAATATGAAATTTATCATAAAACAAATTCCAAATTCCCAATTTGGGCTTTCAGATGTCCATATTCGTAGTAGGATTACGTCATTCAAAATTGAATAGTCCTAGGTAGCGTTGTTTTATGACAATGCGAGAAACATATTTGCATTTATGCAGATTCTTCATTATTTAAATTTTTCAAATATTATACAGGGCGATAGTATTCGGTGGCAACGATTTGAAACATGATACAGCCTTTTAAAATTTTCAAAGCAAAATCGCAAAACGAAAACAATAGTCCTTCATGGACAAACCCCTTTGAACTAATTAATCTCGACCAGTTTACGGTTGAGGTAAAGGCTTCATAATGTCTAGTTTAAAGTATGCTTAGATTAAATGTAATAGTTTCATTACTGGAATGAATTTTGTAATTTAATTACAGTAAAAATCTCATGCTATATTAATACTGCATTAAATTTGACTGAAATGAGGGGAAAAAAAACCCTCTCAAAATCTTACTTGAATCATTCTCTTACATCAAAAGTATATATAGTAGTATAAGTATCAGTAGCGGGAGCAGCCCGACCCGCCTAACCAAACAAGTCGGTCTTATGGTCATGACAGGCCATGCCCATTTCAACAAATGAAAAAATGAAACACAAAATATCTAAATGAGAATAATCATGTGTAAATAATAATTATAAGCATAAAAGTGAAGAATAGAATAAAAATACAAACATTTAGACAAGAGCAGACACTAAAGACAAAAACAAATAAGCGAATAATAAACACAAACAATGGTAACAACAAATTATTAAAATATACTAATTAGTGATGGCAATAAAATGCAAATATCATACACTTGATTCCCACTGCCCGGCGCTCACCGTCAATAAATTTCATCACAGATTTACATAATTGTGTGAAATCTTTATAACATAAAAAGGGATTTTCAAAATCAATATTTTTATTGTTTCTCAAGCCATCAAAGTAGGGACAGACCTCGAGGAAATGCTTAGCATCACCAAACAGACCACATAGTTTACATTTATCGTCGTTCTGTATCTTAAACCTAGCGAAGTATCCCGGGAAACGCCCATGTCCGGTCAGAAACTGGTTAACTTCAAAATCATTAAAGATAATTTTTTTTTCCTAATCACTTCTAAATGTTTTGAATAGCGACTTTTCCTTTTAGAAGAATTCCATTGTAACTGCCATTGTTTAAAATAAAACGAATAAATAACTTTAGTTGCTATTTTTTTTTAACCCTGAACATAAGGCGTCCCCGAAACACTCCCTATGGCAGCCTCTTTTGCGAGCACATCCGCTCTCTCATTACCGTATATTCCGATATGGGCTTTAACCCAACCAACACTTAATATTAAAGGATAAGAAAGGATAGTTTTTGGAAAAGATCTTTAATATCGATAATCAGACCATTATTATTTTCTGCATTATAAAAGTGCATTTTAAACAAGACATGCAATCTGTAAAAATATAGAAGTTAGAATTTCTTGCAAAATTGCTTTTCAATATCCATTTAAGGGCATAGAGGACGGCAGTATATATAGTAGTATAGTATACAGCTTCTCGACGGCATACATAATATATATATATATTATGTATAATTATAAATAAACTTTTGCAATCGCACGGTTTAATAAACATTCAAATTTACCTCTGTTGGTTGCAAAGAAGATCTTAACCAACTCCTCAATCCACTTTTCCGTTGACTTGTAGGAGACGTAGTGGAAGCGGGGGGAGTGACTGGCAATATACTAAAACGCTGGCTGAGTGGCTAAGAAAAAGAAAAAAAAAATTAAATGAGTGTAAAGTACATAGCATTGATATTCAACATGTATTGAGTACTAGGACGAAGTAGTAGTGTACTAGGACGAAGGGGCACCCAGACCTGGCTGGTTCGATGGCCGCCTTAGCAACCCCTGGAAGCCATCCAAGGAGACATTGTAGAATCAATAGGATTTTGGAAGTAGGGAACACGAAAAATGAGCAATTCCCTTGCCGGGACTCGAACAACCTAAACCCCTCGAATACTCGCCGAGTGTGCTATCGTTACACCACGAAAGCATACAGAAAGAAAGGAGAAAATACCCTATAGTATAACCCTCTCCCGGTCAACCCAGACGGACGACTTTTGTTTCATAAGATCTGGCAAATGCAATACAATGACAATGGTGGACGACCAATGACAATGGCGGGACTATGTTCTAAGCTTTCTCGACGGCTGGCAGGTCCAGGGTCAGCAGGGACCATATGATACTGTCTTGTCTGCCCCTTGGTTGTGGGGACGTTATAAGGTGAGATATCGAAGGTTGTCCTTGAGAGTTTGGATCCCCTTGGTCAGGGTGGTAGATGCCGAATTATGTTCTAAGCTTTCTCGACGGCTGGCAGGTCCAGGGTCAGCAGGGACCATATGGTACTGTCTTGTCTGCCCTTTGGTTGTGGGGACGTTATAGGATGAGATATCGAAGGTTGTCCTTGAGAGTTTGGATCCCCTTGGTCAGGGTGGTAGATGCCGAACTGTGTTCTAAGCTTTCTCGACGGCTGGCATCCACAAAAAAAGCTTAGAACAGAGTTTGACATATACCATCCTGACCAAGGGGAGCCAAACTCTCAAGGACAACCTTCGATATCTCAACCTATAACGTCCCCACAACCAAGCAAGACAGTACCATACGGTCTCTGCTCACTCTGGACCTACCACCGAATAAACGATGGTTCTGGTCACTGCGAAGATGTTAATTTTTCCACAGAAGACCCCCGCCTCGGAGGGAACATGTATTGACAGCAAACGTATCTGAAAAGCCAAGAACAAGACTTAATTAAGTCCAAAATTTTAACATTCTAAACTACGGTCTCCAAACTGAAGTCCTGGAGCTCTATCAATCCAGTCCGCCGAACGTTTAACATGCGCTTTAACTAATAACCAATCTATAAATACATTTTCTGTCATGCATCATCTTTATAAAGCATATTATAATGTTCTAGCTAAATTTGTAGCCTTATAAGGATCTTAAGTTTTACTAACGTTTATTTTATTTTAAATCTTTACTATCACTTCTTATTTTCTACTTCCGGCCAGAATTAAAAGCTTTAACTTATTTATGAAAATTTGTCTGGCGAACGCCAAGTACTTAAGTTGTGGCTTTTTGCCAAGCAAGAGAGAGGAAGGAGTTAGTAGAAGCAGGCCGCTTGCCTTAGCAGTTTTACTCGGTTGCTGGTTGCCTTCCAGACCAGAGGTTTAATCCTCTTAATAATTTTAAACGTATTGTAGTGTTAACAGTTCTCTGTACTACATACGGCTTCCTGTTAATATACGGCCAATCTTCTCGGAGGCCCTTGTTTGTTATTCCAAAGTTTAGTTAATATTTTTATATTCTTACTTTATAACGTTGCGCGCCTCTAACTAGCACGCAACCAAGAGGTGACTGTGAAAGCTTGTATAAACCACAGAGTCTTATAAAGGGTTTAAGTCCCTTTTTATTCAACGTACTAATTTACAATTGCGTTCTCTTGACGCTTACAAACGGTGCCAACTCGGCAGTCAAAATAAAAATAAAAACCTGAAAAGAAATAAAGACAATATTCTAACTACGAGGCTCTCTAAAATAACTAACTCACCGCGTTTTACAATACCGCTGCTAATTCAGCAGACTTGAAGCTCACTGGAACAATTGCAACTACTTACTACTTCCCGCCAAGCACATAGGCCGCAACGCGGGGTTTTTCAATCTCTATAACTACTACCTCCGCGCTCGCTAAGTAAGAATAACTCTCTCTCTCACCGAACTTGTTTCCTTCTATTTAAATCATACTACTTCCGCTGATAATTTGAATCCTTGCGCGTTCTACTCAAATTTACATATTCTGGCATTGGCAGTTCCAGGGGAAAGTAAGGCTTGACAGGAAAGATAGTTTAAACTTAAAATAAATGTTAGTTAAAATAAATATAAACCCTACATTTGCCGCTGCCAGAATTTGGAAAACTTGGAAGCAGGTCCTACAAACGACCTGTTGTAAGTTTTATCTAATTCTGAACTAACTGGCGAAAGCCTCGTTTACACAAAAAAAATCTTATGTAACAATTAAAATTCTGTTACTCGTTACAAAGGTTTCTTCTTACAGCAACTTTTCCTGGACTTCATCAATCAATCTTGGTCTTTCCTTCCAGCATCTGGAAGGAATAAGTATCAGTATCTTTCTACATACATTATAATTTACACTTTCTTGACACAATAAATTTTTGTTTTTAAACGATTCGTTTTTCTTAGTTATTGCTTACTTCACATTCATTCAATTTTTCAAGCATTAATTTAACTTTACCCTGGCTCTCCACCGTGTGTGGTGTCAAACGGGAATATTCGTGTTTTAGTCTTACAACACTTCCCCTAACCACCATGATTTGTTAGAATTCAACAACCAAATAGACACACCTTACTCGACATTCTACAACTCAATGAGCTACTTTAATATTCTTAAAAATTCAAATGTAGGTGGAGAACCCTACAAAACACATTCATTCTAACTTCCCCCTCATTCATCTTTAAACATGCAGGCTTTCGCTCTAAAGCATGACTTTATCTACAGTTTAATACTTAAATTTTGAACTTCATTGCTTTTAAGCATTCACTTTTAGCATCTACAATTTTATGCTTCTAGACTAAATTCTACTTTTACATAACATGCAAGTATTTACATACATTTACAAAAATTTTAATACATATGCTTTTTACAATTTACCATAAAATGAATAAGAGAAAATAAATTTTTACTTTACTCATTCTTCGCCAAGCTGGCGGCACTGAAACTAAAATTCTTATTAGTAATACAAGAATACGAAGTTATTTTTATCTTCGGCCAAATTTTGGCTTTAACATAACAGAATTAGTCTTTCGACCAACAGAAAATGCTTGTTTTTAGCTTTTACACTTAAAGAAAATAATACTTTTGCCTTAGCTAAATAAAGTAAAACAAAACTAAGTCTCAACCGAGACATATTGACTTTCGTCAAAACATAGAACTTCGTACTTATGCATAACATTTCGGAACAAAAGAGAAAAAATTTTATAGAAGGTTTTAACTTATCTTTGAGTTTTCGATGCTTGAAACTCCGTCATCCGTTTTTTGACAAAATTGATCCCAAGTTAGAGGTGTCATGGATGTCAATCTTCTCCTTGTTGATCTCCGAGTGTCGTCCCCGTTGATCTTTCTTTTGCGTCCTCTACATGCTGGCCTCTTGACGGAGTAATCGTCTGGTTGTTGGCCTTTTGCGTTTTTTTCTGCCTGGGACGGCTGGTCTTGACGTCCTCCGGTCTGGAGTCTTCTTGAATTTCTTCTGTTCCTCGTACTTTCTGTGCTTTCCTGTTGGCGTTTCAGTTTCCGGAACGGCGGCCTTGTTGGCACCTGACTCTGTGGCCGTGTGCGCGTTCTTCTTGATGTGTAATTTCCCTCCTGCCATCCTTTGTAGGTGGTGTTTTTTCTTTTTTACCACGGTTTCTTTACCCGGTTCATCTGTACTTTTGTTTTTCTTAAACGCCGGAGTTTGAAATCATTTTTTCTTTTTGATACCGACGTCCGGGTTGTAGAAGTGCTAGGTCTCTCTCTTCTCTCTTCAGTTCTCCGTTCTTGGGTGGTGGAATAGTTGTTGCAGTCTCTGGCCCTTCTATTTCGTTTAGACTTGAGTCCTGCAAGAAACTTTTAAGGATTTCAAAATCATTTGGGATTATAGTATTTTTTCACCTGGTCGGGACTTGCTTTACAGATTTCCCCTCTCTCGTTTTTAAGATATAAAACTACTCCTTTGATTTCCTGAATTACATAGGGGCCTTCAAACTTTGGAGCTAGCTTTGCCATAAAATTGTCTGGGGCACTTGATAAAGAAAATTTCCGTTTCAATACTTTATCCCAACTTTAAAATCTGCTTCACGGCGTTTTTTATCGTAATAAATTTTCTGCCTATTTCTTGCCGTATCCGAGGTTTTAAGCGCCTGATCAATTAGTTTTTGCACGTCCTTTTTGTTTAAATTCCTGCTCTCTTTGTTGCACAAAGAATAATTTATCTAAAGGCGTAATTAACTTTCTGCCTAAAAATAATTCTGCTGGAGTTTTTCCCGTAGTATCATGATGTGCCGTTCTTAAAGCATAAGCTAATTCATTTATGTAGCCATCCCAGCGCTTGTGATGTGTGCTAACGTAACTGCGAATTATTTTTACAATGTTTTTATTAACTCTTTCTGCTATGTTAGCCTGTGGTCTATACGGAACCATTTTGATATGGCGTATATCAAGTCCATTGCATATGTTTTCAAATATTTGACTAATGAATTGTTTTCCGTTATCGCTAATGACTTTTATCGGTGCACCGTATTTTAAAATGTATCTGTGTAAGAATGCATCTGCGACTGTTTTGGCTGACGCGCGTTTAAGTGGAACAATTTCTATCCATTTTGAAAAATGATCTACTATTACTAAAAGAAAACGATTTTTATTTAACTCGCTCTGGGGGAAGGGACCAAGGAGATCTATGCCTAAAATTTCATTCGGAAATGTAGCGCGAATGCTATTTAAGTACCCGGCCGGGCTGTAATTAATATCATTTATTAACTGACATTGATTGCAGGACCTGACATACGCCGTTACTATTTTGTATAATTGCGGGAAATATACCGCCTCGCGTACCCTTTTTAAAGTCTTTCTGACCCCGAGGTGGCCCGCTGTTTTTTTTTCGTGCAACTCCCTCAAAATGCTTAATCGAAGCGAGGCTGGGATGACTGGCTT